TGATGTAAAAATACATACACATATGCATATACCCCGAGCTTACACATGAATTTCTCTGTGCATACTGAAGAACTCAACATGCCTGTATATCGGCATGGGCGGAGGCAATAGCGGCATAGTCTGACGATGAGTGAGATACATACTTAAGTAATTGTTTAAGTAGTAGCGGATACTTAAGCAATCGCTGCAATGGTTTCAGTAGATACGTCTCTAGTCCCAGGGCCTTGCCACTCGCCTGAGTGTGTATCATAGTTAGTGTATGTTAGCATCGTGATGTTCGATTATCACAGCTATAACTGGTTATATATATATATATATTGTAATGCCATTACGTAATCGTTAGTATATACCCCAGCAAATCATCTTGTGACATGAACATCGTCAATCTCCATGGGTATTCCCAATCCGGCGTAAACTATCGTAGGCATCATTTATATGCCGTTTACTATATACGATAGGAAAACATAAACGTTTTGCTCCACATCTATCCGTGGTTCTCAGTAAACATACTATGGTGTAACATATACATATCACCAGACAGTCAACAAAACATGCTTGGCACAACCTGTGCCTCTGCGCATTATCGGAATCCATCAGCAATTGGGTTTCCCCCGAATACAGGTTTTAATTGATCCAAATATGTAGTCGCAAATAACATGTTACTGAACTCGGTATGGAGGGCTCTGGTTGCCACATATGCACACAAGCCATGTGCTCGCCTAAAACTATATAAACTTAAAACCCTAAAACCCTTAAAACACTCAAGAACTCTACATGCGCAGCCAGCCAGTGATTCCCAGGATGTACCTGGCGTGCCCATTCTATGGTTGTACGCACACGATGACAGACGTATACCTACATTCTCCTGTGTCATTGTGAAGTTATATACACGCTTATGAACAAGTAAATACTAAATTCATAGTGCTACGAGTCGTCATAAGTTGTGCCTTCTGCTGCACTGAGAGTCACTCATCGACCTCTGATTAATCTTAGTGTGCCTTCTCCTGGGGTGTATCCCTATTACGGCATAGATATACTCCTCATGTATATATGTATTTATACCGATACATATACACAGATACAGATACATGTTAATACATATATACTCGTAATAACCACACTCACTAATGTTCTGCTGCTCTGAGCGCCACTTATCGACCTCTGGGCGATGTGAGCGTGCCTTCTCCACGTGTATCCGCTGATGACATTTACATACTCGCCACTGTGTACGTATATACCGATACATATATACTATTATTCCTATACGTTCATACGTATTCAATCGTAATAAGCACGCTCACAAACCTCCCGCTGCTCTGATTGCCACCCATCGACCTTAATACAACGATAGTGGGCCAACTCCAGATGATAATGCATATGATGACATAAACTTTTCACAAATAAATGTACAAAAATACAAAATTTTACACATAATCTAGTAATGTATATTCATAAGTGAATGATCACCATACCCACTCCCACACACACACTGACCTTCAGCTGCTCTCAGAGCTACTCATCGAACTCTGAATTACTATTGTGTGCCTTCTCAAGCTGTGAATCCATACGATGATCTCCACTGTTATATGTGTGAACATACTAGCATGTCCACACAGCTATTCATGTATAATGATCCGTATAAACCTGTATTCAGCACACTCACTAACACTCACCTTCTGCTGCTCTGAGAGCCATTCGTCAACCTCTGAGTGCCGTTTGCGTGCCTTCTCGAGGTATTCCAACGCCACTTTGAAATTCGTGCAGTACTCAATGTACACATCAAACTCGGGTTTTAGATTCACAAAACATTGGCCTACATTCGGAGACCATTCCTGAAGGAGGTGTGTTAAAGTGTAGATTTGGGTGCATGCTTTGTAGTTAACTAACAATGACAGTAAGTGACAAGACGTCTTTCATACTGTATACATATGAATATACAGATACATTCTCGAGAACACATGTGTCCATGTTAGCTATCAAAACATGGGTTTTAGGGTTTAGAAAACACGGATATACACCGATATATGGTACAGGATGTTATACACTCCATGTAGTGTATATTATATAAAATATATACGTATTTTCAGGCATAAATACGATATTATATATATACAATAACGTGTGATCCGTGTATATAGGCAATCATATTGGCGATAAAACGCAATCCCGACAACTGCTATGTAAATATGCATACACAAATATAGACACGCGTCCACATAGCATACACACATTCATATAAACATACGACTACAATGTAAACCCAAGTTCTTACATCCGTACACATAGTCACGCACCCGATTAACATACACGCATGTATAAACACGGTGGTACAATATAAAGATAGTACTTGTATTCATCCAAATAACATACACGCGTAAATATAAATACATGAGTGTAGCATGAAGAGTATTCTCGCAGATTGTCATTGATTTATACACCTTGTTGCAAACCAGTCCGAGATATTATGAACAGTTTCAACTTAGTGCCGGACAGTCATACGTGTGCAACACACGTAGCCATAGCCGTATACGTAATTATCGACAGGCAACCAAAAGTATGCGCTTTTCATTCGAGCGTTAGTATATTCCCCCAACGGATACCGTGTAGAAGTACATGGCACCCGGTACACACCTATCTATCCCGTAGAGTACCACACACACAGGGTCACGCATCTGACTGCTATGACTGTTGCCTTCAACGGGTACATTTTTAATGGAATCACTTAACACACACTAAAATCGAACCGTATAGTACAATTTCGATATTCAATATCTATGTAGGCATATATATATATATATATATATATATATATATATATATATATATATATATATATATATATATATATATATATATATATATACTATATACTATATATATATATATATACTATATATATATATTATA